AGTATTGAGCTTACACTCGGAAATAGACAAAATGGATGTTAACGCAACAAACCTTATCAATGTTAGGGTGGTGAATTTTGGTAAGGAAGCAAACCTGTCGTGATATTGTGAACAAATACGTTAGTAAAGAAATCCTCTGATCCAACAGCAATACCTTCCAATTTCACTTAGACAACCCAGAACTCGAAAGAATTGATGCAAACAAGCCATTTTATTCCCATCACGTGATTGTGAGAAACTTAAAATTTCAAGCTTTAACAGAATGCACCAGTATCCCAACTTTAACTGAAGACATTTTCACAGGGCAGTTTCCCTCTTAGCCAAATTTGATATTTGTTAATGACTAGGAGGAAAACAAGACCATAACAAAGTATCATGTGCTACTTAAGGGATGCTCTATAAATAACTTGAGAATTCCATATGGATGTGTAGGTTAGTCCAATATTCTTTTAAAGGTGTAAGATGTTACAAGGATTTTAGCTGGTCAATCTTCGTAACATAACAAAACAATAGGGCATGTGGAGAAAATATTAGCTTCTCAAATTAAAAGTGCACGTAAGAGGGCAAGAGGAGATGTGACAGTCTTTATGAAGGCATGTGGTACCACCATTGTGCATTGTGCTATCATTTGTTAAGTCAGTATCTAAATTGGGATATGTAGTGCATTAGCCAAATTACCTCACCATTGAACGCAAAAGTATTAAGGATCCCAAGAAACGCAGACTAGCACAATGTCTTCTACTTATCTCACAGACAAACACCTGATGGAAAACCAAATATGGAACTACATTGCTAAGGCACCATAGGGTTGAGATCATCAATAAGGTTGGACCCCCAGCAAATGAGATATAGGTCAGAAGACTCAGAACCATGGAACTCAACATATTAGAGAAAGCAGTTTGTGGAAGTAAAGTGAGATGTATGGGGAAGCAATTTTACACGAGAGTTTAGCAGCCAATGAACTGCACACCAAATAGCAAATCGAGAGGCAAGGCATAACAAGCAATCAACTGAAAACTATCGAGCAAAATGTTTTACATAGAAAAAGTGGAAGCCACAGGCTCAGGAGTTTTTGAACTTCCATATCTTTAGTACTGTTTGCTTTTCCAAAGTCACAAATTATCCACAATTCCACATAGGGATCAACTTTCCAGTTGTATCAAGGATGATTAACACCATACATATCCATGTCCTTTGCCCATATCAAAATCTATGCACCAACTAGCAAACAAATAAAACCATAAGGTTCGAGTAACAAACAATTCTAACCAAAGTAACTAGAATTCAAAACATTCACTTCGACATATTCAGTTGTGATAAAAGCTTCGAGTGACATAGCCAAACTAGGACAATAGTTCCCAGTTAATATCAAATAAGAACTGTATCCTATGCCGTAACCTCATTGCTGCAGGCCTGTAGCTTTTTCAAATTTCTATATCATTTCCTCTGATGCTCGGACTTTTCGAAATAGTTGGAGTACCCATGTCGGACATGACACGACATGGGTATGGGTATGGAATATGTGTCGGATCCTCCAAATTTCAACTGGACACTTCATCGTTTTTGCTTCTTCTTCCTTCTTTTTTCCTTTTCCTTTTCCTTCTCTTTCCCTTTCCTTCTCTCCCACTTTTGCTCTCTATAAACCTAGCGTCGTCGCCGAGAGGGTGGAGAAAGGCGGCGGCGCTAGGTTTTACCTTCTTTTTCTTCCTCTTTTGTTTTTGCTTTCCATTTTCTTCTCTTTTTTTCCTTTTTCTTTCTCTGTATCGATGGTTTAGGGTTTGTTTATATAAAATGAAAATGGATTCCATATAGTGCTACGTAGTGCTCCACTAAGTTCAAATTACAATCAAGTTTTTCATTTTTTATATTATATAACATTTAGGCCCTGTTTGGTCCACATTATTTTTTTCATTCTCATTTTCAACTACACATTTTTCAATAAAATAATATTTTCCATCACATTAATAATTTTCTTTTTTTTCAACCAAATATTCTCCATCAATCTGCTATTCCAAAATATATTCTTTCAAAATAATGTGGCT